CCATATATTGTGACAGGGAGAGAGCCAATCAAGTGTCATAATTGGTATCTTTTGGCACCTTATTTTGATCTGACCTATTTTTCTATTATAAACATAGCTGAATGTCCAGCCATATGTTTTTATAAGAACATAGGAATGCATCCTATACAAGTAGCTCTGCTATACATACATGCACAGACTGGGTTGGCTTGACATGCTAAACCACATGGTTCCAAAGTCACGATGGCTTAGTCTATTGTCCGAATCTGATGGCTTTGGTGTCACTACAGAATCACGCCAAGAGAGCACGGCTCGTTTTAGGGTTTATCGAACCTTCTATGGCTAGCATATGATCAGTAAACTACAGTCAAGCAACAAAGCTGCATTGCTGCTTGGCCAGAGCGACTGAAAGCCCTGCCACTATGGTCAGGCAGCTCCAGGGAAGCACCAGTGATAGCCGCCGGAGCAGCACTAGGCAGCTGAGGAGGGGCATGTGGCACTACCTGAAACACCTCCCTGTGCTACCCCAGGTGAGGGTGCGGATTGCAGGCAGGAGAGGGCACAGTTGGCTGGGTCTTCTTCAGGCAGCATATTTGTTTTCCTCTTACTCAGCACGTCTACTTCGTAGTGGTGGCTGTGCCTTGCAAGGTGCGGGGTGGGGATGAGTCCCCCTACATTGGGCTTCCTTGGAAGGAAGTCCAGCAGAAGGCGGCTCATCCACACTGCTGCTTGGAAGCCTCTGAGAGCTGCTCAAAGGTGCCACCTGGACCCAAACCCAGCAACAACTAAAATAAGACCGAAACCCCAGGAGACTGGCCTATTAAAAGAAAGAAATCATAGAAATTCTGCAAATAGTTTCAGTGATTAATCAAGCAGTTAAATTCCCTACATTAGCCTCCCCTAAACTAGTGCCCTTCAGGTGCACTGGCCATGCTTTCTTGAGATGATGGGAATCATCTGTCCAACAGATTGAGGAGCACCAGAACTGAAAAGGCTGACCTGTGTATTTCAATCTGGAGCCTTCCTGAAACAGTGTAAGAACTGGAGGAAAAAAATCTTCCTTCTAAAATTTTGTAACAAACAGGGGACCACCTTGTAGCAAGCTTTGCAGGGTCTTCTTCACTCAAACTCACAGGGTGCCTTTTTAAAAAGCATTGCCATGCCATGAGTCTTTTCTCAATATTATTCACAAAATAATACAAAACATGGGAGGGATTCCTCTATTCACTTCCCATACTGAATTGTTATATTTACTTTTTAACTTACTCATTAAAATGCAGAAAGTAGAGGAATATAAACATCCCAGTGAGAGCAAAATAGCTTCCTCCTTCAGACACTTACATGTAACTTGACAGGAGTGCTACATGGAGCAACCCACCTACACTCATTGTTCAGAGATAATTTTATTCATTTGAAACAGCCATAAGCCCTCGGATTAATGCCAGCTGTTTCTGAGCAAGCCTGTCCTGCTCTTTTACATCCCATGAGCTACACTGAAGTAGTCATGCTGTCTCCCCAACCCAACCAGCCCTCACCGTTCTGAGACACGTGCCCAGACTGCTGTTCCATGTTCAGCTGGGGATGACGGAATGACAATATTACACAGTCACAGCAAACAGCTCCTCATTATGGCAAAGTAGGTGTGAGTAAGCTCTTAATGAGCCTTCCCTAATCTGTGCCAGACTGCAATGGCCCCCCTTCCCAGCCAGCACCCCAAGCCTGAGCAAGGCTGCTCTTGACCATCCCCTCCCAACCCCAGTTTATGTGTGGCCTTTGGAAGTCATGAAGCAGACCTGCACGTCGCATCCACATCACCATAGGCTAAAATCGCAAGGGCTAGGGTTGGTTCATAATTGTATAAAAGAGGGAATTTGTAGGTGCAGCTTTTTGTGTGAGAAAAGCTGCTGGGACCCCATCTTTTACACATTTATTACATCTGCAGCCGCCTTGCATCTGACTATCCTAAGCATTGCCTCCAATCAAAAGGCAGCCTTTACACAGAATCAAACCTGAGCAGCTATACTTTTTGCTCCTGCCACTCTCTTCAGGTGAAACCTGCGGTGACCATGGGCTCTCATGAACAGGGGTGGGAAGTTGGTTGAAAGGGGATCCACAGCCCTCCACTCCTGAACTGGGGAAAGGAAGAGAGTTCATCTCCCACATAATTATGTCTGTACCACATCCTCTTCTCTTTAATGAACTGTTGAATTTTTCTGGAGAGCTACCTTTTTGTTTTGCTAGAGACACAGTGCAGTAGCTCCCCATTTCCCAGTCTCTTTTCTTCCAAACAACTTGTAGCACAAAGGTATTGCAATTCTCTGCCAGGATACAGACTGCTGAACACTGCCAGCTGAGGGGAACTGTAGGCCTTTCTTCTCTCTACCTGAGATAGTAAGAAAGATAGGCTAAGTTGCTGTTGCTTTTAGAAAGGCTGAAATCTTTCCCCTACTGATCTAAGAGGATTCTTTGTAGGGACGATTGGAATTGTGCCCTTAAGGTAAAACACTGTAGATGTAATACGATTTCGCATTCCAAAACCCACCCATGGAACATCCACAGTACAAAAAGACCTTCGCACATTTGGACAGGGGCTCAGGAAAAAAATGTAATTGAAACTTAGTGTCAATTATGTTTCAAGAGCCCATAACTCAAAAATATCCCCATGGCTTTATAGGAACATTAGATACTGCCCTTCAGTTTAACTACCAAGCTGTGGTGCCCAGAGTGGTGCTTTTCATCAGAGTGGATAGCTTCAGAAACAGCTGTGAATGTTTTCTTGTCTTTAGGGCTTAGTCCTTTTTGGTTCTGGTGTAATTAATTGTCACTTCTGATTTAAACTTTAAGAAAATGTGCCAATAAATATTTATATCATGCATGCCATCTGCTCCCCTTTGTACAATGTCCTAATAAGTATATAGAAATGGTTCCCTGCTAATTAACATCATTCCGGTCACACTGAACTCTGGACTTGTGATAGCAGCAAGTCATGCTGAAGCATAAGCGAGATGGTGCTGAAGCCTCAATGGGGTTCCATTTCTAGGGCTCTCATAGTTTCCAGGTGCATTGCAAAGGCAATAGCTACAGATCTGCATCATGACACATATCAACCACCTGGTCCAATGAAGCATCTTTTATAGCCCTGCTAATGCTGGGCTAGAAGCCAGTTTTCCTAATGTGTGCAGGTTTCCTTTCTTTCTTTCTTTCTTTCTTTCTTTCTTTCTTTCTTTCTTTCTTTCACATGATGATCAAAACACAGCCTCAAAACACGCTCTGAACAGGCACGGGCAAACAAGCAACAGTAACAACCAAGTGTTCATAAATCTGAGATGTTCCCCCAACCCAAGTACCCTGAATACATCCGTAATGTGCTGTGTTGGTACTGACGATATGTGGACTGCTGGTTCCTAACTTGCCACTTTAGTGGCTGTGGTTGCTGTCCTCTGCCTGGCACGCAGAGCAGAGACATGAAGTGATAATCCACTGAAACTCCCACTGGGATACTGAGAAACTATCCTCTAGAATCGGCCAAAGTTTTTTTACTGGCACAGTTTTAAATTCCTCATCTTATTTTTCTTCCTTGGCAGAATATAATTAAGGTGTTTTAAAGACTGAATGGTAAGCTAAGGATTAGGACTAAAAATACCTCTCACCTAATAATAGCTTAGGTTTGGCTAAAACACAAAGCTGTTCTTAAGGGGAGTCTGAATCATGCTCACAGTTGCAAGATCAAGCAGCAACTAAAGTACAGAACAATGCTTGCAAGCAATATTAGGGGGCAAACTGCCACTCTTCATTATAAGGAACATTGCCTTGCTCATCAAAAGGAGCAAAATCCCTGGCTTATGTGCAGCACATTATCCCAGCAACGCGTTACTGCTGGTGGGTCAGAGCTAGTACAAACATAACATAAAAGCAAACATCTCTTACAAATAAAATAATCTAGGAAAGCAACATTTCAGCTCTGTTCCACATGGGTTTTAACATGTATTTGGAAATGATTTAAACTTCCAAGCCGAACTGCCATTTTATTTCTTACAGTTTCTCTGTACCCAAGGATTGTCTGTCTGTCTCTATGCTGCTAATGTGTGCACTGCTATACTGGTTACACTCTATTTTATACAGAATATATGGGAAACTGTAAAAGGAGAAGCAGTTTTAGAAGAAATGCACAGAAAGGTTCATTCGGCTGGAAGTACCACTACTGATAACCTTCCCTCTCTGGTCTAGGCCTCTCTCTTTAGATCATTTCCACTTGTTACTGCTTCTCTAGCTCTGTGTCCTGCTATCGCTCCCTGTTTTTCCATCTGCAAGCACTTCCATAAGTTTTTGACACAACATGTGTCTCTGTCTCACTAACACACTCTTCACAAACAGTGTGCATCACACTTGTCATTCCTTTCCTTCCATGGCTTTTATTAAGTCCATCCTCTGCCCTGTATTTCCCCACTCCAGTTCTCTCCCCAGATCAGACCCAATATTCTTTCACCTTCTCTCTGACCTAAATCTATGGACTTCCAAGACAGGTCTGCTCCGAAGTTCTGAAGGTGAGATTGTAAGGAACTGTACTAGATTCCCCTGTAGGATGTCTGTATAGAGCAGCTTTCCCCAAGCAGGTGCCCTCCAGATGTGTTAGACTGCAAACTGCATCATCTTCAGTCACAGCCATTGGCTGATGAATGGGGTGATGAGAGTGGTTCATCAACACACCTGGAGAGCACCTGGTTGGAAAGGCTGGTGTATAGTCTAACTCACTTTGAAAATTTTCCACATTGTCTGGCCCAGCATATGGAAGGAATCACGTGGGGGGAAATGCTACCATTTCTCATGTAAGCTAGACCTGACAGCAGCTATAATATAAATGAAGTAGAATAGTTTAATTTCCTTTTGGACTGGTCAAATAATAAATTGTGTTTTTGCTGCCAAGCAGCAGTTTTCAATAAACAGATTTGTTCCCAACTTTGCTATGGCAACACTCTTTTTTCACAGCTCTGTGAGCATGTTCATATCCTTCAGTAACTTACTGAAGTGTAGGTGCTTTCTAACTGGTCCTCCACGATGCCAATTCGGCATGGTGTCTTCTGATTCTGAAGCCAGTAGTCTGTGGATTCTAGCAGGCTGTTACTGCAGAGGACCTGCAAAACAGAAGAAGCAGAAGCTTTGTTTGATTCCCAGACGTCAAAGGGACTTTTTTTTCTAACCAGTTCCACTTATGGTAATCAAGATACATAAAGGTGCTATGGATTGTTTTATTTTGATTGTTTGTTTTGAACTAATTAATTGAACAACTGATAAAGAATATTTATTTTGTTAAACAAGATAATTTTAAAAAAGAGATCAGGGGGAATCTGGGAAATTACATATCAGTCAGCTTAATATCTGTTCTGGGTGAACTGTTTGAAAGCATTATTAAAAGTAGAACCAGGAAGCACATAGAGGGATAGTCCTTGATGAGAAAAAGTCAGGGAAGGGGAAGTATTGCCTCACTAACCTACTGGGGTTCTTTGAGAGTGTCAATAAGCACCTAGACAGGGGTGATCCTGTAGACATTGTTCACATGGACTTCCAAAAGACCTTTCACAAGGTCCTTCACTGAAGGCTCCTGGGCAAACTAAGCAGTCATGGAATAAATGGAGAGGTCCTCTTAGGGATCATTGATTGGTTACAGAACAGAAGACAGGGGTAGTAATAAATGACAATTTCTCCCAATGGGGAGATGTCACCAGTGGAGTCACAGGGTTTGGTATTAGGACCAATCCTTTCCATGTATACATAAACGATCTGGAATTAAGAGAAAGTAGTAAAGTGGATACATTTGCTGATTACACTAAACTACTTAGGATGGTCAAAACCATAAGGGATTGTGAGGAGCTCCAAAGGGGTCTCTCCAAGCTGGGAGAATGAGCATTAAAATGGTAAATGCAGTTCAGTATAATCAGGTGAAAAGTAATGCGTGTGGGGGCAAAGAAAGGGATTTTGGGGTAGTAGTGGACAGCTCAGTGAAAATATCAGCCCAGTGTGCAGCTGCTGTGAAAAAGCAAACTCCTTGATGGGCTAAATTAGGAACAGAACAGAAATTAGGAACAGAATTACTCCACTTAGAATATTGTGTCCACTTCTAGTCACTTAAACTAGGACTTCACTGAATTGGAAAAGGTACAGAGAAGGGGCACAGAAATTCTAAGGTGGTTTAAGCATCTCCTTATGAGGAATGGCTACAGCAACTAGGACTGTACAACTTAGAAAAAAGTGAGGGAAGACATGATAGAGGTGTTTCAAATAATGCAAGGTGTGGAGAAAGTAGAGGGAAATTTTTCCCTACGCCCATATCACTGAAACTTGGGGTCATCCCATGAAACTGAATGGACTGGGGAAAGGTTTAGGAAAGACAAGAGGGAGTATGTTTTCACTCAAAATATAGGTGAATTACGGAATTTGCTGCCATGGGAAATAGTAATGGCTACCAATCTGGATGGCTTTAAAAGGGGTTAGACAGATTCATGGAAGAAGAAGCTATCAGTGGCTACTAGCCTTACTGTCTATGTGCCACCTCCTTCACCAGAGGTGACATGCCTGCTGAAGTGCTTGGGCAAGTGGAGGTCTTTTCACCTATCCTGGTTCAGCAATCCAGTGGGCAGCTGGTTTGCCACTGTGTGTATGGCGTGCTGGACTAGATGGACCCTTGGTCTGATCCAGCATGGCTTTTCCTATGTTCTTAATTGATTGGTGTTATGCTTGACCCCTGCCATGCTAAGTGGAAACAAACTGAGCATGAGAATCAACAGCAGGTCTGTTGTCTGTTCTCTAGGCAAGGAGGCCAGCTGATAACCTAGAATTAAATAGGGCATCAGCTGATCTTTGGCTGATCAGGAAGGCTGATGTTAGTAGGTTAATGTCTCTTGAAAGATATCCTAAAGGAGAATGAGATTAAGCATGTCAGTTGAATGGCTCTCCAGGGAGGGCAGCTGCTCGCAGGATTACCTAGTACATGTTTTATCACAACCACCTTTGACACATTTATTGCAATGATATCCTGATTTCTATTAGATAAAGCATCAGACTAAAAAGACAGATTAGACTATTTTTGTATTACCTGTGCTGTTGCATCATGTCTGAATGCAGCCATTGGGTTGGTTTGGATTGATTCTGTATCTGAATACACTCTTCTCACACATTTCCTCCTCCCTTTGCACATTGACTTTTGTGCTTCCAGCAGAGTTATTTTAAGCTAGAGTTTCCTGTTCTACCTCAAATGCAAAATTGTAGATTAACTTCCAAACCATGATGTGACATTGTCTTTTTTTTATACAGTGGTTTGGAGTCCAAGGTTAAACCACATTTTCCTCTTTTGCAATGGAAAACTGGTTTAACCACAGCAAAAGTATCAGTGGAAGCATTGCTGGATAGTGCGCAGTGGCGCTGCTTTCTTGGCAGCACATCTTTTTATCACATGGTTGTTATCAAAAACTAAACAAAGTTAGTTAACAAAAGCTAAACCAAGTTAGTTAACAAAAACCAAACTCCTATTTTCTTAAAGTAAAACTTTCTACAACACACAGAATGCTACTAAATAAACTTTGCTTTAAAAAATCAGTTCAGTATATTTTGTTTCTGCAGAATAGATTTTATCATTTTGCATATAAAACTGCTTCCCCTGCTGTTAAGGATGTTTTTCATTTAAATGCCTTTTAAAAATTCTGATATAAGTTCAAGTAGTCACATATATTGGGTGATAAAGTATTGTAAGAAAATTGGTTTATGATTCCAGATTCTGAATAACAAATTTCCCTGGAGCACTGCAATTTGAACAGGGCACAATTTGCCATTGCTTAAAATGTACACCATAACACTATATTAAAGCAATGGAAACACTGCATAAAATATCATATATAAATATGATAAGAAATGAACTATTCCCAATAAGGGCTAAGCATGGGATGCCATTCACCCCTCTTTAGGGGTTTTGATCACATCTGCAGTAAATCAGAATTTTGTGTCCGCTGAGTATGCTCCAGTAGCCTCTTACAACATATAGAGTTTCTGCCCTAAAGAAGTTTTATACTCCTGGAAACTCCTGTGGTTTCCCTGTGACTGTTGATACTCTCCACCTTGTACATGGAGGGTACATTTTAGGTACATAATGCTCAGAGGAGTCTGCTATTAGTATGCAGAGCTACCTTACCTAACCTGATGTCCTCCAGATCTGTTGAACAACAACTCTCACCATTCCACTGGCTATATGTTGACTGTGGATTATGGGAATTCTAATCAAACACTTGGTTGGGAAAGGCTGGTATAGGATAGTGATGGTTCTTACATGCATTTTCATTAGAGTCAGAATATTTAAAGAAAATAGACTGGAAAGACCCTTCTGAAACACTAATTAGTTAACTGACAACAACTTAACAACTTAATGGTATGCCAAAATCAGAAATATATGAAATAATCATTTCATGAATAAAATTAATTGCATGGAATATATTCAGAGAATGATGACTATTTCCAGAAACACTATTTTAGTATGCTCCAATACCACAATGGACATTGGTGTCTTAGCCAAAAACAACATGTATCTACTTTTTCTTTGAGCAGAAACCTGGCATATTCACCCAATGACATCTTAGCTTAATAAAATGAGATTTTATTGAGACTTTTAGCTGAATACACCAGCAATTCACTCTCCCCTTTGCACCAGAAGCATGTAAATCAGGAATCCTTCAAATAAGAGCTTCCTGTTGCACCCCAAACCAAGAAACTATGGCCTGGCTCACATGTCACAGTGAACCCAATTTTAAAAAGAAATCTTTGATTGTTCTGAGTAAGCCACCATGCAGGTTCAGGCTATTTATTCAGTTCTTGCTGGTGCCCCTGCAACTAGGAGCTGGTAAGCAAGCCAGTGACTTTCTGTCCATAGCTTGTTTAGTGTAGCCTCAGAATCAGGAACTCTGATAATAAGCTAGGTTTTAGGACCTTGGCCAATTGAGGGAGAGACAAGCCAGTTCTCAGTTTGGATGTCAGGCTAAACAAACCACAATGGCGTAAAGCAATTACAGGTGCAATTGCTGCAGCAGCAGGAACACTAACTGAAAGAACAAGAAAAGCACTTTATAATATTATTCATTATCTCCCTGCAAGTGTCTGTACAGCGCAGTTCTTTCAGATTAATTTCAGGGAAGCAGTAATTTGCATGGACCTACATGTATTAATTCATGTAAATGAATGCCTGTTTAAAATAAGCAATCACCTAAGGTGGAAGAAAAGTGGTCAGTTATTCATCCAATCATGGTAAATGGAAATAAGGTGCAATTATTTGTTAGCGTCTTTGTGCAGCAGCAAAGTTAGAAGCGTGGCTTCATTATAATAAAGTGGTTTATGATGCAAGATGATGGGGTTTGTTTAAGTAGTCTTGGGCCACTTCATATATTGGTATATTATGCCAATGAACACACACAGTTCAAACTGATAAATTAGGATTTGAAGTGGCAGAATAACAGAAATTTAAAATGAAGTGTAACACCTACCCCTGCACCCAGTCTGCATAATGACATTTACATATAGTTACAGTGCTTTTGATCACACTGCTATCTGATCACAACATATCAATTAAATACTCAGTTAATGAAGATGCAGTAGGAAAGAGGAAGCCACATTCTTGCAATACTGTCTCTCAGCTTGGCAATGATTCCTGATGCTACATGGCTTGCAGTAGGGACTGTTGGACCCATGATAGGTAGCTGAGTTGTGCAAACCTGGGAGGCTGAACCCATTGTGGCTGGTGAGCCGCACAGCAAGAGAGGCGACCAGCCTCTGTTGCCCCTCCCAAGCTCACCTGGCCCACTGCCAATGAAAGCCACATCACCACTGTCCAAGTGGCACACTGAAGCAATGTGTATGACCCTGCATTCCCTTTGCCAACAGCCATCTCTTTTTTCCTTGCTTCAGCTCCTCCCTCCCTCATTTTTTCCACAGCCAGTGGCAGCCCCTGCAAAGTACCCAAGTGGCACATTGGCGGGGCTATCACTGGTTTCCACCTCTTCTGTTTTCCTTGTATTTATTTATTAAAGAATGCAGTTGGGTTGGCAGAAATGCATATTTCAAAGGGTCCAAAATGGGAAACTTCTCTTGGGTAACATCCTGTGTGTGTGTGGGAAGTGCTTGCTGTCAAAGGGCAGGAGTGAGCCATGAGGGACACTGCCCCAGGCAGGCTACAAAGAGGTTTATTTTTCACTTTGTTTTCCCTGCCAGCGGTCAGAAGGCAAGCTTGACAAATCTAGAAGGAAAGTTTTGTTTCAAAGCAACTGTTTCCCTAGGGATTATTTACCAGCCTTGGTTTTCATGTCCAATGTTTTCCTGGTTATTACAAGCCTGTAATTCATCTCATTTATAGTAATATGAAAATGAGAAGCACGTTTGGTTTCTTTTATACCATGTGATTTGTTCTTTCTTAAAGGCTTAACTGAAGAGTGAGGAAAATAAAGATTTTATTCCTGCTGAAATACTATTTATATTTCAAAGTCCAAATACTCTGATTCACCAGGGAGATGGGATCCTTGAGGGGCTGCCGAATCTCCTTCCTTGGCCATACAGTTGCATCCCTTAGATATATCTGAAGCATGCCATTGCCTGTTTAAGGACAGGGATCTGGACCACATAATTCCTGGGGATCTCTCCAACTCTTTTATAACTGATATTTCATGCTCTTCATCCACTAAGCAACCGTAGGAGATGGTCACTAATCTTCACACTCTGCAGAAGGAAACTGAAACTTTATGAGTTAGTTTCCCATGGTCATTAAGAGATTTCCTGTCTGAGTTCCATTTGACCACCATCATCATCATTCTTTGTCACTTCCAGCCAGACTAAATTGTCACCATTCGTCAATGTGTTGCCACTTGTCAATCAGTGAACCAAAACACCACCTAACCGTGCATAGAATAAAAATAATTCTGTCCAGGGAAAAAAGCAGCCCATAAATTTAATGTAGCCACAACTTTCTGTAAGATCCTAGATAAGTGACTAATATAGTTAATATAGAATGGGTACATCCCAAAGAGGCTCTGTGTCACACTTGAGATAGCAGCATGTTCTTGCCTGATCATCTTAATTGCTACGGTTAATTACAACTCATCAAAAAGAGCACAGAACATGCAAAATGAGATGAGCCATGGGGGCTCATACTCTACATTTTATGAAAATGGAACAGTGAAGTAATCTCTGATATGTTCTATGTTGTCGAGGAGGCTTCATATCAGTCAGAAATAACTATCAAAACCAAAAGCAAATTGGATGGGATGCTTCATTTATTCTTTGCCAGTCCATTGGAAATAATAAATCTTCATCTATCTATGATGAGGTGTCAGAGACATTCCCCCTATTAACATGTCTTATAAATAGCACCTTCAATTTATTCAAATTCTAGCTGTTTTCAAAATGCAAAGTGAATTGTATTTATGTCTAATGGAATCTTTATTTGCACTGAATATTAGGTAAGCTTTTAAGAGGCTGCAGTAAAAGGGATGGGCAACCTTGTAGCCTTTGGTCTTCATGTGGCGATGGATAGTGAGTGGGTGGCAGTACACTAATGGTAGGTGAAGCCAAAGGTGTTGATGGATGTGGTCAGAACCTTTGTGCCCCACTCTCTTCAATGCTTCCAGTGCAAGTCACCTGGGAAACCTTGATTGCCCTTCCTTTCTTGAATCCTAAATCTGGAGTAGAACTACCAGCTGAACTGCCTGACTTAACCTTAAACCTTAATTATATTTGCAAGATCAGTTCATCTACTTAGTACATTTCCTGTAAGAACTACAGCTGCATGAAATCAACCAGCAATTTATTTGCTGCAATAGACTGAAGATATCAGATAAATGCTACAAAAATTGTCATAGCATTCTGCCTGAGCCTGTGCGATGGAACAAAGGTACACTGGAACTGGCAGAAAGGTTCTAGCACCAGATCCACTAGAAACTCACCCACTTGGTTGGTATTGGTATCTAACTCTACTGGTTTTTGTATTCCACCATACAGCTGTACTCCACAGCTCTACATTTTTCACCATTGCTCTATCTCCATCTGTCCTACAAGGATTTACTGGCAGACATCACCTTTCATGGTTTGTACAGTTGGACCAGCACCACCAGATCAGATTGTCCACGAACAATGGCACAGAAGTTTTGGAATATATAACCAATTGCCATTTAAAGAGTATAAATTGTTTGTAAGCATATGGGTAGCTATGTTGATTCTTTTTTTAAATTTAACTTTTTGCTTCATGCCCAGTTTGCATTTTAAATGTTAGGTGAGGCTAATAACGCTTTTCTCTGGGGCAGGCACTATCCATGGTGCTGAACCCAAAACCCAAAATAGTTTTGCCACCATGGAACACCACAGCGAGCTCATATAAAGCTCAGCTCATCAGCTGTAATGGATAAATAACCCCACTGATATATGAATCACCAGCTTCCCCTGCCAATCATTTTGCGGGCAAGAGCTAAACAGCATAATCAGGCTGCTGATTAAAAATAATACCAGTTTAGAGAGAAATTACCTTTTTACATGCTGTGACTGAGCTTCCAAGGCTGCTTCCTGAACTATCTGTTCCACTGTTTTGGTGCTCTGAAACTTCATACATCAGTGGGGATTCGATGTTTCTGAAGAGAGAAAGGGGAGGTGAAAATATCAACATAAATAAACTAAACATGGTTTCCTTTTTAAGGCCTTTCCCACTCGGATACCTCCAATTCTTGCTGTTTTCCTGGCTAACAGCATTGCCCTGTTGATTAGGTCCTTTTTACTGCTTTTGGAGGCATGCTCTGAAATTATAGCTTGTTGCCTCTTAAAGACTTGAATAGAGAGCTCAGTTGGACACAGTACATCTGCCTGCCTAAAATGTTCTCTCCTCCCTCAAGCAAGCAGTTCTCAGGCAGAAAATAATATACCGGCTGCACTCATTCAGCCTGGCAGATGCCAGCATGTAAGAAATCACTTACTTGTTATGCCTCATCCTGAGTCACCTGCTGCACCCAAGTAAAAAGGGGACATTACAACTATTCTGAGATTTAAAAAAATACAATGGCAGTGACTGAATCTGAGAGCCCAAGCAGGCTAGCTTTACCATCACAGGCAAGGAATAGTTTCCATAGATGTGGTGTCAGTAACTGCTGGTGTCTCCTGGTGCTGGTGGAGTACAAGACCTCCACAGAGGTGCAGCCCAAGTGACTGCTGTTATTTTGAATCCCCAAAAGCCTACATTCCAGAAAGGTGAAACTGAGACAGATGCACTTTAAGATCATGAGCACCCAAATAACCACAGAAAAGCACCTTTGTGAGCCTGTGTTCTCCTGCTGCAGCAAAAACTCCCATTAAACAGAGGGTGTAGGGACTTTAAGACCATTGAGCACAAAATAGATTGTGCGTGTAACCCACACAGCAACACAAAATGTAAAATGTCAGCATACTTTGTGAGCAGCATTGAAAGAAACAGACTACGTTTTAGACTGAAGATCAGACTGACATTTAAAATCTCTTGCCTTCAGGGCCCTGGAGAACATGATACAACTTTGATACCAAAGCTTACAGTGTATAACTTCTAAAAGCAAATGTTCCTTCTACTTGACAGATGTATAACAAATAGTATGATAAGATATGGCCCAAATGATTATACAGGATAAAAGTTAAGACCCCAAAGTGAAGTAAGGTTACTGGCTTTGGTCTGCAAAGGGTTTAGAACTACAGAACTTTGACTCTTCATTTCATGCTTCGTGCGCTGCTCTGTGATTGGCTATCACTACATGAACATCAGGGGCTGGATTAGAGCATTGCTCAACAGTGGCAAAGGCTTGGATAAAGGTAAATAGTGATTGCAACTATGAAATTGTGGCAGTATTTCCAAAGCCTGCTACCAGGAGCCCATAATACAGTTCAATGGGTATGCAAGCAAGGGGCTCCCAGTACCAGCAATAGTCAGGCTGTGAATGCAATAAGTATTGCCAGACAAGTGTTTCTGCTTTGTTCTGGTAAGGAAAGGGGAGGGTTACTCCCAGACTGCATTTTTTAAAAGTAAAAACAAAACGCACTATCTTCTTCCATGCACTCATGCCCTGACCAGATTTTAAAATACTCTGATGAGATTCTTATGCTACGTACCACTATCAGAGGCATATTTGATGGGGGCCTTAGCAGTGGCCACCCCAAGCTCTGAAACTGCCAGTTCAAGGATGCTGGGTTGATACCTCTCTGGTATTTCTCTGATGGCAAGGAAATACACTTTTTTTTTCCAGGCAGAACTTTGGAAGATAAACATGTCTCTTGTTGAAGATTTTTTATTTTTAATTGTTTGGTGCCACTTATTTCTTTTGTGTTTGTGCTTTTATCCATGTTTTCATTAATTTGCTTTTACATTATGCCTCAATTAAGCTTTTCTCTTCAATCTACATTTTATTGTTAGCCACTTTGAGGGCTATTTTCTGATGGAAAGGTGAGTTATAAATTAGAAGAAAGTAAAGACAATTGCAGTTTTGTTGCACCAAAATGATTGTTTGAAAAGCCCCTCTCTTCAATCAATCATACAATTTTATTGTATTTATGTAGCTGTTCCATATCACAAATTTTCTGGCTCACAAACAAATGCATCATTAAAATCCAATATGATACATTACAAAGGTTACAACTAAAGCATAAATAAATCAAGGATTTTGACTGGATAAATTGGTGAAAGGCCTGGGCAAATAAAAAGGCACCAGGTTAGGGCATCAGGTGAGCCTTTCTGGGAAGGCTGCTCTACAATTCAGAGAACTGAAAAGTCCATGGACACTATGTGAAGGATATCTTAAGATGATTTTACAGTTCAGGAACATGTATACAGGAGAAGTTAGACTTTGGAATGACTTTGTTCAAAACTGTTTAGGGTTTCTAAAAACCCACTTTAAATCAGGTCCAGAAACAGATTGGGAATGAATGAAGCTTAGTGCATTAGTGTCCATTTTAATGCTAAGAGAAAGAACAAGAACATACTAGTCAAAATAAACACAATGAACTGTTTGGCTGTGCTAAAGGGGTTTGATTCTCCTTGAACAATGACAGCATTGGACAGGACTCAGGATTGGGATGACCTTGACAGAATGGAGAACTGTGCCAAAACAAAATGAACATTAATAGAGAGATGTGTGAACTATAGCATTTAGGTAGGCAAATCAAACGCACAAATATAGAACAGGTAATGCCTGGCTTCACAACAGTACATGTGAAAAGGACCTGTGGCAAGCCTGTGTAGTAGACCACAAGTTATACACCTTAGTCAGCAATGCACAGCAGTGGATGAGGAAGCTAATTCCATTCTTGTTTGCATCAACAGAAGCATGGTGTCAGCTTCCATATCACTAGATTTAATGGTACTATTTGATTCTGCTTTGGCCCAACTACACCTGAAGTACTGGGGCCAGTTCTGCACACCACAGTTTAACAATGATATCAACAAACTGGAACATATCCTGAGGAAGGTGACAAAGATTGAGAAACCTGGAGATCATGTCTTATGGGGAAAGGTTTAAGGAATTGGATATGTATAGCTTGGAAAAGAGATGATTAAAAGCTGATATGATAGTCCTATTTAAACATATGTAGGGCTGCCATGATAGACCAAATTAATTTTCTGTCACTTTAGAAGGTAGGATTTAAATGGATTCAAACTATAGGAAAGGGGATTTTGAATAAACATAAGGAAGAACTTCTTGAAGGTATGAGCTGTTCCACAGTGGAACAGACTGCCTTGGAAGGTGGTAGATGTTTCTTTGTTGGAGATTTCAAAATAAATGCTGAATGGCCACCTACCAGGGATGCTGTAGCAGCTGATTTCCTACCTTGGCAAAGAACTGGGCAAGACGATCTTTGCGGCACCTTCTAATGCCAGGATTCTGAGATTACCTCTGTGACCTAATCCCTTTCCATCTGTAACAAGGCGATGGAACAATAAAAACTTATGATCTTGTTACAAGAATTGCTTAGATAATGTATACAATACATTTGGAGTATCTACAATGTAAACTGATATCATACTGTGTGAAGCCTCTATGGTACAGCATCCTCTCCTGTTATCTGCTGTGGACCAAACTTGAAAGAGCTATCCACAGTTCTGAAACCTGAACACCCAACGAGTTCAGCACCATGGACAGCTATTTCCAAAATTGATTTTTGGATGAGTAGCACCACTGACACTGGCACCACTAACCTCCAACCCATTGCCTTCCTAACACTTGAGCTCACTAAGCAGTCTGTGTCCTCCATCCCCCACCACTACAGAACAGTGCGACTCTGTGTTGGTTGTCAGGGACTGGCAAGCTCTTAGCTGCTGCTTGCTTCCTGATACAACCCCAGTGTGAGCAACTGGAGACTTCCTTTTACTTTTATAAAGGAGTAGTTTCCAAGCAATTTACAATGTAAGTTGTTAAAGCAAGTCTTGAAATGATAGTTGAAACAACTCCCCACCACTCCACAACTAATCTTCTCTGAATAAATACTAACTTGGAACTGTGTATGCACCATTTGTTGGTTGCATGCGCTGCTTTTCTGGCCAAAATACTTTCCTCCTCAATGCCATCAGGGAAAGTTCCAGTCTTGCATTTGGATTTTGGACACATTCTTCTGCCAGTAATGAGAGTTCAGAGGAAAAACTAGCAATTGTTTTTGAATTTTAACACATGACATTCTGTATGTTCTATGATTCTTCATAAGTTTTAAAGATGTCCAGGAAATAGTTTATTCCAAATGCTTCTTGATTAGTAAATGTCTGAAATTTTGACAACCTTGACCACAGTTAAAGCTCTTGTAATTAGATACTACTTGTTGTGCATCTTTTATTTTAATCAGAAACTTAGCATCAGCTACTCATTGTGCAGGAATTCTAACAGCTTGGATTATTGTGTCGCCTTCATTTGGAGGGCCACAGTTTCTTCCGTCCTCTGATTTGAAATGGCATTCAAGTGCAGTGACTTTTGAACTTGTTAAAAATATCTGAGGGAGAAAGAGATGGAAATAAAGTTCATAACGTGTTATGATAGCAAACTTTAGAAAATGTTGTGATGTGCTTCTAGCTCCAGGCTCTTCATAATATATGGAGAACCTTGAAAATCCAGAATCAGGTGGAATAAGAATTAATGAGTACCTATTATGGAAATCTTCACAGGCAGTGGGAAAAGCACACTGTCTCAAAGAAGCACTAAAGTTCAAAAAGGTGAAGATTTCAAGTATGATATGGAGCACAAAAGAGATCAGTATTTCTTAAGAGAAGGGTAGCTGGAAGTGTTGAAGAACACGCTCTCACTAAGATATTCCCCATGGGCATGGCTCTAAAGAGACTCCAAGCATTCAGGATGTTGTGTTGATCCATATCTAGAACTTGTCCTCACTAGCAGGAAGAGGTGTTATCTAAACCCATTGGGCTTTAATTGCCTATTCAAGAACAAGCAACCCCCAAACAGTTTACAGTACAACAGAGAACAATATATTGTAGCAGGAAAAATTAATTTCCCCATAGCTCCTATGAAGATTGGTGTCTCTGCTCAAAGAGAAAAGGTACATGTGGTGACGTTGATAGGTGATGTCAGCATCCTTACTAATGAAAAAGTGCTGGAACTCATCCTTGTGAGCACTAGAAACATTAAG